CTGTACGTCGGGGCCCACGTCATTGTACCGTCCGGTATCTTGCGTACGGCAGGAGAGCGAGAGAGAGAGGAAAAACATTCCCCAAAGCTACGATAATTAGAGATATATAACCAGCTGACGATTTATTACGTAAAATTATATCGGCACCGCGACCAGGGCAAACTGAAAAACACGAGAAACTTATTTCCGGCTTACTTCGAATATGCGCGAGAGATGAAAATCGCCCAAGTTATCAATCGTCGTATTGTCCGCATACTATATCTATTAAACTGGATGTATCGCTTAGCTTTTACTGGAGATGACGTATCGATAACTGTATTCTATTTTGAAGAGACGCATAATTACGTAAGCAACGTTACGGAACTTTATCGATGCAGAAGGATATCATGCTAATTGACCGAACAGTTGTTTATGAGTTGCATTTTATTGCCAATAAATATAGCTATTTTTAAATAAAATTTTAAATCGAAGAAATTATTATCGTTCTTGTTAAATATACAGTCCGATAATTTCTTGACATTTATATCTACAGCTTTTTTATTCATTAGCGAATTAATGAACCGATATAAAGTATTTAAATGTACAATATTACTTTCGAACGAGAGATATATTCTAGTTAACTGTACTTAAACATCTTTGAAAAGCGTAAAACTTTTCTTTCTTTAGTGTACGATTTATTCCGAAGTATTGTCCAAGCACAAATGCTCCGCGCACAATATCTCTTATAAAAACAGATAAGTTTCATTTTGAAAATGTATCGTATTTTACAGCCAAAATCTCCACTCAATTCTTCACATCATACGTAAGTAGCCTATTAATATAGCGGAAATTGATTAAATATTGACGCAAGTTTCATTTACGCGTAAGCTTAATTTTTGAATCTAATGTTTATTTATCGCGTTCTTCAAGCTTCTCAGATGAACGCAACGCGCTAAGGTTCTGACTGCAGAATCGTGTCTTATCAGCAGCATTAAAGCCGTTTATCTACCTGGAGCTGCTGCCTATCGGACACAAACAGGGTGAGCGTGATATCCCTTCTTGCAGCATGGAATGTGCAAGCTGGTTTGTTACTCTCGCATGAAGCTTTCCCCTCGTATAAAACAATCATCGTCACGTTACGCGTACTGCTTTTCGGAACGTTGACACCAAAACAGGCCGCAACAATAATGCGGATAAAATTTTCAATCATTGCAGACAACTTTTTCCACGAATTGACGCCGAACTTTGCTGTGATAAAAAATTATTTTAATGTTAAATGTTACATTTTTATCGGCAAGTGATAATTTCTTGTGTAGAAGAAAATGATCGGATTATCGAGGATAACAAAAGACAAGTTTATCCAATGAAAAAAATTGTGAATATTCTTGAAGACGATCTTCGCCCATCGAATTGTAATAAGATCGGATCGCGACGACGACGTCGATTACGATCGCGGCTCGAGGAGTCGCAGAAAGAAACGCGCGTCCTCCCGGTCCATTCGAGGAGAAAAAATGAATCGGACCTCGATCGATCGGTTTCTCCGAGTGGTTCGGCCAGTGCCGTAGCAAGTGACATCCGCAATGCCGATGCCGTGTGAGAGCGGAGTTCGTTGCCCCGTAAAAGAAGACAGGCATACTGGCCCCGGCGCGTTTCTGGGTTTACTGTTTCTGCCTGCTTGCGAGTGTGTGCGAGCATCGCGCTCCGTGCATGCGTTTCGTAAGCTGCACGCGAGGAATCGTCGGGTGCCATATCGTACCGAAAGCACGAAACCTCGTAAAAGTGCGATATATGCGCGAGAGCGCGGAGGAAACCGGTAAAAATTAGTTTCGGCGGGACGGCTTGACAAGAGGTCAAAAACCGCTTGCAAAACCGCTATAGAACGAAACTCGAAAATACTATGTAATATTCAAGTGTGTCATCTTTGAATCGATAGGTTTGCGAAAAGTCTCAAAATATAATCTGTATCACGTATTAAGCAGTAACATTTTTTACATATTGTTGTAAAAATACAATTCAATATTTTTTAAGAATATTGAAACTATATTCGGCATTAATTTAATTAAAAATTATTTTAGACTATTACAAACGATATATCTTTATCTTTATTAAATGTGCATATGTATGAAAGAATTAAAATCAATCTTTATATTAGTGATAATATAAATAATTGCTAATAAAACATTATATGAAATATTGCAAGATTAAAAAGAAATAAAAAACTTGAGTCTTTCTTATCTTTCTAGGATAAATCAGCCTCTGCGAAAATATATATATTTCTACGAGACCAACGAGAAGACCGATCACGGGACATTGTTAGCTCTTCTAGCGGCTCTTCTGCGCGTTATTCTCGCTTAGAGTACGCAAAATGCGTACTAACTAAGTCATAAATAGTGTCACGCGTGAAACCGATTGCGCCTATGACTAGTCAATATGTCGCGCGCTGCGAAAATGCGTGTCGGTTGCATGCGTGTGCAAAGTGAGCCGCAATAGGCGACGTCGTAAGTAAGATCGCAAATAAAAGACCGCGCTCGATAGTGCTTCGAAATGAGTAAAAAAAATTTCGCGTTACATACATCGCTGTTATCGCGCACGAGCAATAATTGGGACGATACTGACGTCGCGGCTCGTAAGAAAAACGATCATGCGAAGCCGTGCGTCCGCGGGCGCACTTTCCTCTCGATGTAAATGAAAACAGTCGGAGTTTCTATGTCAACGCCTTCCCTCGAGGCCGTCCGGCGCGAACGATTTCGTTTGATCTGTCATTAAAGGGACCCAATTGCCGATCATTATAAATTCTGACTAGGCAGCATCATAAATTCCGCTGCCGTGAGAAACTAAAATGGCCCTGCGACTCGGAGTAATTACGGCGACGCATAATTAAAGTATAACGAGGCGGCTTGAAAGCGCGCAAACCACGACGTATACGAGATCGAGGAGGCTGTGAGTCACTCTTTATCAACATCTTTGTGGCATGATCGCGATTGAATCGGTTTTGTTACTTAATCGACACGGCAGAAAATTGTGTAAGATTCCGTTCCGAAAAATTGTAGCGATATTTTTTCAGCTATATTATGTAAATGTGAGCGAGAGAGAGAGAGAAATACAGAAGAGCGCATCACAAGCATCTCTATGTACTCTTCTAATAAACTATGCTCGGCATTCGTTATCTCGATTTCGACATATCTCACGGAATCTGCGAGAAAATCGATGAAATCAGTTGCTCTTCACGGTATGATAAAAATTAAATGCCTAGACATTTCAAAGAAAGCACGGGGGATAATGTTGTATATTAGGGTCTCGTGAACAAAGTAATCGAGCCATCGAGTTCATTTTACACGTCCATTATTTACACATGTGTAGCTTCGTCTTTCCTTCTTCTGCGTAACTGTTTCTTTTTTTCCTTTCGACCGGTTAGTTTTAGAGAGCGGACCAGGGCCTATCCCACCAAATCGCCGATTTGTCCGTTTTAACTGCCGTGGAGAGCACGATCTACGCTCCGGGGCGTTGCTCGTTATTGCGCTCACGCTCTCGCCTTGCGATCGAGAGAGTCGGCCGAGTGGAGAGACTACGATCGGTACGTAAGTACGTACGCGTATGTCCGGCCGACTGGTCGTCTCTTACGACCGTGTTTGTACCCCGATTAAAACATACAGCGGGTCGGTCGTCGACCTGGCCCCGCGGTAGGCAAAGCAGCGCGACGGAATTATAAAATTCTGTTACGACACCCGAAACGTGTGACGCGCTTTCAGACGCCCCCGCCGCGATGCTGCCAGCCGTCGCGACTGCGAATCGTCTGCGCACCCCGTTTTTTCTCTTCAAACTTTACCGCACAATTACGAGTTCTTTTTGTGCTTTAAATATTTTAATTGCTAGAAAAATTAATCTTGCGGTTCTTTCATTTCTTCAATTTATAAAAATGCAACCGCATCAGTTATTCTGCGAGTTCTCAATTCAGTAAAGATTAAGACAGCTTATAAAGTGTCTTCACAGATCTACAATCTATGTGAAATTAAAATAAGCTTTTATTCAAAAGATTTTATTCCAATTGGAAGTCGCTCAAACACGATTTCGAGATGAAAAAGTGACATTTGACCGATAATTACTGAAATTTAAATATTTAAGCTAATGTTAGTTTGCAGGAAATGAAATCTTTCGAGCACCCAAAGAGAACGTGATCAAAGAGACTGATGAATCACGGAATGGATTTTGGAGAGATGCGATTCAATAATTCGCGAATATTTTTGTGCACTGCACGGTGAGTGCTGACCGTGGAAAGAAAGTTTCTTCATTGTGGCATCTGGAATCTTGAATCTCGAATCGAGAGGTGCGACGAACACGTGAAATCGACCGTGAAAGAATACCGGATCATCGAAAGCAGCGATGCTCAATGTTACAAATTGGGCAACGTCATACGTGACGAGAAGACAAAAATTGAAACAACAAAGTAACAAATGAGAAATTTCTCATTGAAAAATGTATAAAAGATTGAATTTAAGTGTGCGATGTATTTGATACATTTGTTGCATGAGTGGCTCTAAGAAGTTTCTTGAATTTGATTAATAACATCATCTGTACATATCTCTTTCATACAAAAATATATATTTTAAGATATATATTTAAAAATATATATAATAATTATCTCCAACTTATCTACATAAACAATATTAAACATTGGTAATTAAAATCAATAAAATTTGAATTTATTTTCTAAAATGCAATTTTTTAAAGTAGGTCATATTTTAATTTAATTGTGAAAAATATGTATATTTGAAAGTCACAAAAATATTAAGAATTCACTCTGTCAAATTTTATTACATATTATGTATATTTTTTATCACTTTCTCGAGTGCCAAAAATTTATATTATAAATTTATTATTGCTTATCGTAGAAATAAATCGCCAATTCATAGCTTAAAATAAAAATTTTAGTCAATATATACTGTGCATCCGCGCGATTGCTCAGTTCAAAATTAAAAGTTGGAAAGTTAGAAGTTACATTTTTGCACGACTTTGTAAAATCATGATTCGGATCTCAGTAGAAAGGATGAGCGAGACGTTTGGCCGATTGCTCCGGGTTACCAGGGGTCGATGTACTCGAAAGTCGAAGCTTTCCCGACTCATCATCATGCTCGAGTCTCTATTAACGAAATTTCTAATGCGAATTTATGATAATGAATGAGCAGTCGAAGAATTATCCATTGCTCCATGGTCAGCGATTCATCAGAGGTTCTCAATATGTTCAAATATGTCTCTCATTGCTATTGTATATCTTTCTCTATTTTTTCTAGCATTTTACACCGATATTCTGAGATTTATAAGCAAGAGATCATGTGTAGCAGCAACAACACATTAAGCAATGTGACATATTCATGTTGTCTGATTGTGAAACACCTTTAGATGTCACTTCGAACTGAAGCACTGTAGATGTGCTTCGAATATGCACAAGGCTTTTCGATATTCTTAATCTTTGATATGTTCTCCAATTAAAGTGTCGCTAATAACTCCAAATTTACGATGGAAATTTACTGCATGCTTACTATTCTCTAGAAAACCCAATGATATCCGCTACTTAACTTTTTTTAAGCGGTGTTCGGCTTGCATTAATTGGACTGCACTAATAAGACAAGTTTATCCTTCTTTATCATTAATATGTATTAATCGCACTTTGAAAAATATAACTATAGATAAATGAAGTACAGCCCCTCTTTTCGCCCTTTGACATATCTTCTATGTAACGAAACAGATAGAAGAAATAGAATAAATGCAACGCCAAAAATAGTAAGCGTTTCGCACAAATTTCTCTCGCGTAAAATTGCATAACTTTTCCGTGATATTATATGCAGAAATATGAAACAGTCTGGCAGAAAATATTGTGGTTTTATCATGAAAGACTAATTGCTGTTAAAAATGTCAATGACTCTACAATTCATAAATCTGAACGAAACTTAAATTGCAGCCAAATATACAATTAAGTTTAAGTTTTCATTGTCGTAAGATAAATTATGATAAATTCAAATTCATATTTTATTAGACGGGGATTAATTTACAAAAATGTTTTCAATAAATAGTCCTTTAATTTTGGAGAAAATTTGATAAATTTTCATTCAAATATGAATAAGTATCTCACTTTCAAGATAAATTCGAATCGAATCAACTATGTAACTTGATAAATTTTTATATCTCTTAGGTAAAATTAGAAAAAAAACTTTATTACAGTAAACAATCTTCTCAGAGAGTCCGCTAGATTTTTGTTTCTTAAAACAAAGCGTTCTCTTAAAGACATGTTTCTCGACTCGTTAAATATTAAATACTCTAACACGGTGCATCGAACCATCGCGAGAGGTAACTGATCACAATCGGAAAAGTTCGCCGCGGGCGAGGCCGTTTCGCGTCTCGCAAAAAGAAGAAATCCGCGGAAAGAAACCGTCTCGTTGCACGCGGGGGGCTAACGCGGCGCGGCGCAACAGGACGAGTCGTTGGCTGAGGAACTTGATGGTCGTGCGCGGTGGAGGATAGGTAGCGTGGATGGCGCACCGCGTCGTTGGAGGTGCCGCGGAAGGTGGTGGTCGCCGAAGGTGGCGGCATGATGAACGGAGAGGAGGAGGAGGGAGGAAAGGGGGCAGGACGGAGGACACTTTCACTCTCACAGGTGTATGACCGACTCGAGAACGCGAAGCTCGTTGCTCGAACGCTGCGAGAGAGGACGAGGCGAAGAGGAGGCCGGCGAAAAGAGAGAAAGAGAACGATAGGGCCCTGCCAGAAGAGGACGGACAAAAGGACAGAGAGAAAGAAACTGAAGAACGGAGGAGAGAAGGGAGGAAGAGAAGATTTAATGCCGCAGTGATCTCGGGCCGTTCCACAAAGTGGAGGGCCTCACGCGGATAACGGCTGCTAGATAACGGCCCATCGGTCACGTGCTCGTGCGTGCGTACTAACATCCATCTACATCACATTAATATTAATTGCGGCGTTGCATCTGTCGTTGGGCCACCCTCTCGTTAATTAGATTTTTTAATGAGAAAAATTTAATGAAACAATATTTGGCATAAAAGTGTCGGAGAAACATTTGTTATTGAAAAATAATATCTTGTTATACACGCAAAAGCCGTCGTGGATCTTGATTAAAAAAGTTTTGATCCGTTAAGATTTTACATCATTCAATTATGGAGACAAAGTTGCATAATATAATTTTGTAACTTTCGCACGCTGACAATTGTGACGAGAGAAATAAATATAGCTTTTAGCTCCAATATTTCTTTCACCCTCCTGGAATGGATTTTCGTAACTTTTCGAAAGTAGACATAAATTTGTATTTGTATCAATAATCGCAAATATCTATTGCGATTCCCGGCCGAAGGGCACGAGTCAAATCGTTAACCGCGATAGCATCGGTGCGCGTGAATCAACTCGACCGCTTCGCCTCGTGTTCTTCAACGACAGAGCGGAGCGAGCGCACATAGCGAAACGGTGAGTGCGCGGTGGTCCTTCGCGATAGCGGATATGATCGCATTAAAAGCCGCGGGCGCCATTGACGACGACGGGAGGAGGGA